GCCACTGCGCATGCTCCGAACGCAAACCAGATTTTGCGCTTTGCGTGCGCAATTTTAGCGTGCGCTATTTCTCGGAAATAGTGTGCGTACGCAAAGATTCTTTGCGCTTCTCCAAGGAGGATTCGTGATGAGAAGTTGGCTAAAGCCAAGACGAGCAGAGTTGAAAAAAAAAAATGGCGGCTTCCAGGATTATGTCAGCGGCTGCTTTGGCGACGTCGTGAGTGCGACGTCGGCGGCATCCTCGCGGCTGCGATTTTCAATACGGGACGGCATTGTACTCGGTTTGCCAACGATCACCGACAGCTTGGTGCTTGTGACGCGCGAACATTTCTCGGCGAAGGTACGATGTGCGAAGGTCAGTACACGAGACCTCTCTTGCCGAGGCGACGCAAGCGGACACGACCGGTGAACCGCTCGCGTCGCATTATCACGTTTAAACAAATCTAAAATAATACTCTGGACCAAAAAACTTTTTTTTCTTAAGTTACAGCATTTCGTGGGTGAAATAAAAATTGTGACTGTGTCTTGGTGGCGTCGCAGGCGCGAGATGCTTGGGCTTTTGCGTCGCGACGGAGAAACGCTATTCTAAAACTCTCTCGCGTCGGGTGCGCTAATACAAGCGCTAAATTTAGCGCTAGCGTGCGCTAAAATTGCGCACGTTATTCTAAAACTCCCTAATAGGGAGTTTTAGAATAACGTACGCAATTTTAGCGCACGCAAGCGCTAGATTTAGCGCTTGTATTAGCGCACGCGACGCGAGAGAGTTTTAGAATAACGTTTCTCCGCCGCGACGCAAAAGCCCAAACATCTGGCGCTTGCGACGCCACCAAGATACAGTAAAAATTTTTATTTCACACACGAAATGATGTAACTTTAGAAAAAAAACTATTTTTTGGTCCAGATTAGCATTTTAATTTGTTTAAACATGAGAACGCGACGCGAGCGGTTGATCGGTCGTGTCCGCTTGCGTCGCCTCGGCAAGAGAGGTCTCGTGTACTGACCTTCGCACATCGTTCCTTCGCCGTCAAATGTTCGCGGGTCGCAAGCATCAAGTTGCCGGTGATCGCTGCCAAACCGAGTACAATGTCGTCCCGTATTGAAAATTGCAGTCGCGAGGATGCCGCCGACGTCGCACTCACGACGCCGCCAAAGCAGCCGCCAACATAATCCTGGAAGCCGCCATTTTTTTTAACTGTGCTCGTCTTGGATTGAGCCAACTTCTCATCACGAATCCTCCTTGGAGAAGCGCAAAGATTCTTTGCGTATGCACGCTATTTCCGAGAAATAGCGCGCGCTAAAATTGCGCACGCAAAGTGCGAAACCTGGTTTGCGTTCGGAGCATGCGCAGTGGCGACGACGCTATTCTTTGCGCACGCAAAGCTTTAGCATGCGCTATTCTAAAACTCCCTAATGAGACACCACCGCTTTTGCGGATCTAGTGTTGTAATCACCGAACGCTTAGGACTGCAGTAGTGCACGTGTCTTTTGTTTGATACCTTTAAATGTGGTGCCTGCCGATGACCAGGGGTTGTGCTCGTGAAATGTGAAGAGAAGAAGGAAGACTGTCAAATTAAATCATTGCTGTGCTGGTTCTGAGACGGTGTTGTTCTTGTCCTTTTCAGCTCCTTGTCTCTGGGTTTTTCTATTATGATCCACATGTGCGTCGTTGCAAATACCGTGGAAGCCAATACTGGCAACTCCCGCGGAAAACGGGCGAAAATAAAGCCCCTCGATAAAGGTGTTTTCACAAGTACCGCCAACCATTGTTGTGGAAATGCGCAAGACACGTGCCACGAGCGGGCGCTCCGCCGCCATTCGCTTCCAAGGCCCGCTCATTTCAGTGCTGCGCCGCCATTTGCTTCCAAGGGCCGCTCGAGACCTGGGCCACGTGCGCTCGCGCATTTGGCGCTACTTGCAAAGACAAACGAAAACATATCAAGGGGCTTTAGGCGAAAAGTGATTGCAGCGCCCCTGGCGAGCTCTCCAAAATGCATTGGTTTGCCTATCTCCGTGCAAGGTGACCAACGAAAACAAAATAAATTGTCACGAACATTCGCTGCTTTGAAAGTTAAAAAATGGGTGCCAGTTTATGAGCGAAGGACATTATCTTCGCGTGGAAAAGATGTTACAGCTTTCTGGGTGCAATTTCGGAGTTCTCCCGAAGAAAACATTGTGTCACAATTTATGTATGCCAAGCAAAACACGAATGTATGCCTTCGCGCTGTTTCGTGAAAAAGGGCAATGTACAAACTTTTGAGAACATAGCTTCGTTTCAACTTTATTGTTCTTATAAGTCAATTCGTTTTGTTGTTGCAATTCCCATTTCTTATGATTGTCTTGCTTAGTAACCGTTTCGTCGAACAGGCGAGCTGGCTAATCCCGTTAAGATCGTCTCCGGATGAAGAAGCAGAAGTCAATTTCGAACCACGTACGTTACGGCAATGTCAGTATGCTCCGAAAGAAGTCGTTGTGCATATGCAAATCTGACGCGATTATAGATTAACAAAAGCGGAGTTACGAAAAAAAGCAGACTTCTCGCGCTTGCAAAGAAAGAAGGGGAGAGCGTCGTAGCCCCGCGAAAAAAGGTGATTTCAGTCACGTTATTTATACAGTGCACAAATTCCGATTGTTAGCGCGGGGACGACCAACATCTTCTGCTTCGCTGCTTCTTTACTTCTACGATAAAGGCCGACACCCCGTTGAACCGTCTCCACTCTTTCCATTTTTGAGTCTTCTTTCTTTTATATTTTTGAGGCGACGCCAGTCTACCGCGTTATTTCTTCCTCCTGCTTATATGTTGCTGTGTATATTTTCTGTTTTCTTTTTGCTCTTTTTTTTTTTTTTGCCCGACGTGTAAACTATTGCGTATCCTCGCTTTGTTTGGCTTAGTTTTTACTCCCTTTCCTTCGCTTCGGCGCTGTTGTTGTTGTTTTCTTTCACTGTCGTCTGCGATGACCTCCTATATTCGCCTTCGATTGAGTTTCTAATCCAAAATCGTCATTCGTGCTTTTTGATATTTATTAAATATATTAAGAAGTGTAAGCTCGTTATCCATTTTTATTCGAATTTTATTTGTGTACTCCGGCCGGCACGTCTGCTATGAGTCATCGTTTGTTGATCAACCGCCCGCACTCGAGTATACACCAGAGCATACTTAGAGATGGCAGGCATGCTACGTGCTGCCTACCATTGCAAGAACAAGTTTGTGCGATGTGGTGGAAAATCTTTCTTCTCCTTCCTACGTCAACCTACGGACACCTACGTCAACAAGTACTTGAATGCACTTTTAAACTGCTTCGTCAAGCGAGCGAACGAACAACCCGCCAAAGTCACTGGAAAAAGAAATTCGAAAGCAAAAAAAGGTTACTCACTGCTAGCACATATAGAAGATTGCTGCCTGCGACCAAAACATTTCTGCGACTCTTTTTTACCGGGCAGTGTGAGCTGCACTACGTTATTTATTTCCCATGTTTTGTTTTTAGTTCGTACCTACGCCGCGAAAGCAAATAAACAAACGTACAACAAGCAGCGGAAAAGAAGGGAAGCTTTCTTCTTTGTTCATTAGTTTCGTCTATACCCACAACCCACATACCCACAACTCCATTTTTTTTTCTTGAAATACAGGAAGAAGAAGAAGGCGAGACGCGGCTCAGCCGCGCCTCGCATAGGCTTCTGCTTCTAAGTCCGCTTTTAGATGTCCAGGACCATCTACGTTCCTCAGACAGTCACCAAGGGCTTCCTAACATCACGAGCTGTACTTTGATACCACCCAAGCGGACGTCAGAGTGACTGTTTTGACAAAATCGCCACCCACAGCTCGACCACGTCGGCAACCATATCGCTAGGCTTCGCCCCGATAGGCATAGCCACCGACTTTCCGCCGGCTCTTCCACCGGCTCGCAAAGCCCAAGCCGCCACCATGCCCAACTCCGCTGACAACGCCATGGAGTTCGACGCCCTGAGCGGCCGGACCTTAGCACCACCCGGCCCCTGGCAGCAAATTCTACGCGAACGTCGCCATCTCAAGAACCCACCAGCAAACCCGCCGCGGCCCTCAGAGCCACGTCAGTCTACAAACCGTCCACCTGGCACGCCAGCACCCCGACTACCCGACTCCGACTACAAGGTTGTCTTTCGGCCACGAACTGGACTACGAGTAGCTGCCTGGAATGACCGCCAACTCGCACAGAGCTTACAACGGGCAAGCAAAATACCTGAATACATTTTCTACGCTCGAGTCACCGTGCAAATTCAAGCCTCGCAAAATTTAATCGTTGCGGGCACGCCCGAAGAAAACTGTGCGCTCGCGTTGAGCGAAATTTCCACGATCCAACTGGGGGCAGCAACTCATGAAGTTCTACCTTACCTCAAACCGCTCCCAGGGACAAGACGTGGGGTGATCCACGGTCTGGACCCGGACACCACCACTGACCAACTCCCTCACATCCTGGCATACAACGGCGCACGTATACTACATGCCCGCATGCTGGGCAACTCTACATCGGCAGTGGTCACATTTGAAGGAATCCATGTACCATTCTACATCAAAGCGTATGGACTTTTCACTCACTGCCGACCATACCGACAAACAGTGCAGTGCTGCTCTCTCTGTGGAGAACTCGGACACAGGCAAGACGTCTGTCCAAATCCCGACACGATAATGTGCGCTCAGTGCCACACAAGGGATCCCACACAAGACCACGACTGCACCCCTAAGTGCCAACTCTGCGGCCTCGCCCACCCCACGGCTAGCAAGGATTGCCGAAAAAAACTGCGATCACCGCCTCCGCCACTGCGAGACCGGGAACGAGCTCTCACCTCACAGCGGTGGCAACAACAATCCTCCTCGAATTCCCAGCCTCCTGAGCAACGACAATTTCCACCGAACCAACCGAACCAACAACAGGTGAGCTGGTCAACCATCGTTGCTCCTCCGCCTAACGCTCATGACCAAGTCCCCCTACTCTCCACCCGTCCCGTACAAACTCCCGACCCCCGTATCCAAACCCTCCAACAAGAAAACACGCTCCTCAAACAGCAGCTAGAAGCTACGAATAAACGTACGACTACCCTCGAACAACGTATCGAGCAACTTCTCATGCAAGTGGAGCTGTTACTCCAGCACCAAGTTCAACGTCCTAAAGACCCGACCCCGGAGAGGAACCCCGATGCCACACCACCCCTCACGCAAATGGAGCTGCCAGCCCACCCCCAAATTCAGCGCCCTCCAGGGCCGACCCTTGATAGGGACCCCGAGGCCACACCACTTACCTCTCGCGCCCCTACGCCCGTTCCGACACATATTAGCCACCTTGAGCGCATCATCTACGAGATGGGAGAACGCCTCAACAGCCGGTTGATCGACCTCGATCAGCGCATCCACACCATCGAAGAAGCAAAGCGACAGGCGCGCAAAAGGCCCAAACAGTGCACCTTACCCAGCACCTCCGGCGACACGTCCCCTCCCCTCCAAATTGATGATGATTAACCCCCCATCGCCCAAAAACTCATCCGCACCTCCACCCCCGCTGACCGTATGGCAGTGGAACTGTCGCTCGTTTCGCAACAAGAAACCATCGCTCACTCTCCTCGCCCTTCAACACTCGCCAGACCTCATCGCCCTTCAAGAAACGAATACGGACAACGTGTCGCTTCGGGGTTACACGACATATGCCACTGATCCAACATCCCGAACAGCCGTCCTTGTTCAAGCCACCCAAACCGCCCAAACGCACACTCTACCTACAACGATAGATTATACTTTCGTCGAACTCCTACCCCGTAAAAAGACAGAACCCAGCCTGTACGTCCTTAACATCTACAGTCCTCCAACACAGACTCTCTCGGCGATTGACCGCCTTCTAAGAATCGTCCGCCAACGAACCAGAGGCCACAAACTCGTGGTCCTCGGGGATTTCAATGCCCAGCATACGGCCTGGGGTTACCCCAGAAACAACAAAAAGGGTACAAGCTTACATGAAGCTACTCTACAAAATCAACTCTACCTATATAACTCCCTCCACATTCCCACTAGAATTGGCAACAGCGTCTCGCAGGATACGACCCCCGACCTGACGTTTACATACAACATCAAACAGGCTACATGGTCGCGCCTGGACAAAACTCTGGGCAGTGACCATTACATAATACAGCTCCAAATCCCACACCAAAGGACCAGGAGCCAAAAAATTGGCACGGCACGCATCACCAATTGGAAAAATTTCCGAGAAGCAACTCCCACCGGTCCCATCATAAGCCTCGAGGATTGGACTACCCAGCTCCTTGAGAAGGCACGGGAAAACACCAAGGAACTTTCCCTTACGGAGGACAATCCCGCCATCGACGCCCATCTCCTCCACCTCTGGGACGCCCGCAACGGGCTGCTCAGACGATGGAGGAAAAACAAGACAAACCGCAAACTGAAGACCCGCATTGCAAAACTAACGGCAGAAGCGGAAACATACGCCCTCCAACTTAGCCAATTAAACTGGATGCAACTTTGTAACAAAATCCAAGGAACGCTGGGGACCCGTCGAACTTGGCACCTGCTACGCTCCCTGTTGGGGACCGGCGAGTCCAAGGCGGTCACGACCCACCAACTCCGCCGATTAATTCACAACCACCCGGGTACTGAAGCCGATTTGTTAGATGAGCTCAAACAACCTTTGGCGGCCCCGTCACACGCCCAACCCAAGCGAGCACCAGACTACACGGGTGACCCCAACCCTGAAATGGACGAGCCATTCTCACTGGCTGAAATCGAGGCGGCGGTATACACTCTCACCCGCAACACCACCCCGGGTCGAGACAAAATACCCAACAAGCTACTTCGAAACCTCGATCACGTAGCACTGGAGAATCTGCTAGACTATATCAACGACTGCTGGCTGGCGGGCTCCCTGCCTCCTCAGTGGAAACACGCGGACATCACTCTTATTCCAAAACCCGGCGAACCCCTGAACCCCAAGAATCTCAGGCCCATCTCCCTCACTTCCTGCGTTGGCAAGCTGTTCGAACACATGGTCCACAACCGGCTGTCGCCTCACATTGAGGACAAAGACTACTTCCCCGACACAATGTACGGCTTTCGCCCGCATCTGTCCACTCAGGACATACTGCTTCAGCTCAAGGAGGAAGTACTGGACAGCTTGAATAACCACAGCAAGCGGTCGATCTTGACCCTAGACATTAAAGGGGCATTCGACAACATTTCACATCAGGCCATCCTTCAAGGCGTCGCATCTACTAACTGTGGCGAGCGCACATACAAATACTTCGCCTCATTTCTCACCAACCGCACGGCAACAGTGGGTATCGGACACCTTCGATCCGACACGTTCACAACCATACCAAAAGGAACGCCACAAGGGTCGGTAGTGTCCCCCCTACTGTTTAACATTGCCATGAAGGACTTGCCACCCCTATTACAAGCCATCCCAAACCTACATCACGCCATCTACGCAGACGATCTAACACTCTGGGTCCCCACCGGATCAACGGGGGACCAACAAGACGCACTTCAAGCAGCCATCCAGGTGACCCAACAATACCTGCAACCCAGGGGACTTGAATGCGCCCCAGAAAAATCTGCCCTTCTAACGCTGTGCAAGAGAACATACAAGAAAAACAAAGACCCCATACCAGATCCAGAGCTCACCATTGACAACCAACCCGTCCCCAACGTCCCACACCTTCGCATCTTGGGCCTCAACATACCAAAAGATGGCTCAGGCGCCCAGACCATCCTCTTCCTGCAGCGCACACTAACTCAACTCATGCACCTCATCCGCAGAGTCTCCCATCGCCACTTTGGACTACAAGAAACCGACACTTTACGCATCATTCAAGCTATCCTTATCAGCCGAGTCACGTACGGGACACCGTACTTGGCCCTGAAATCCGCGGAGAAGGAGAAACTGAACGTTGCCATTCGCCAAACCTACAAGGCCGCCCTGGGACTACCCCCAAAGACGGCCACACGAAAACTCCTACAACTCGGCGTCCATAATACATGGGAGGAAATACAAGAAGCCCATCGAGTCTCACAATTCACCCGACTGAAACTCACATCGGTAGGAAGAGCTTCGCTCTACCGGCTCGGTTACACGCCTCCTGCAGAATGCGAGCAGAAGAAACGCATCCCTCTCACCATCCGACATTCCATCAAAGTCGCACCTATTCCAAGAAACATGCATCCCATCTACAACAAGGCACGGCGAGAAGCCCGGATACGAGCCCTCAAAACCCAATACGAACACTCCCCGGATTCTTCTTTTACTCGCTACACGGATGCTTCCCCGTACCCCCAACAACCAGCCCACGCCGTGAGCGTCACCGACGCCCATTGCAAAGAACTGACGGCAGCTACAATTCTCACTACGTCTATCGAGACAGCAGAAGAGCTCGCCATTGCTTTGGCGGCCACCACTGGCAACGAATATATCACTGTACTGACCGACTCTCAAGCCGCTTGCCGCAACTTCCTACTTGGCCGCATATCACCAACGGCCCTCAAAGTTCTACAAAACGTACGTCAACTCCCAGAACTCCATATCGTCTGGACCCCCGGACACGAGTCCTTCGAGGGAAACGAAGCGGCACACGCCGCTGCCCGCGCTCATATACACCGGGCAGTTTCTCAAGAAGGCGACGACACGCAAACCCCATGCACTTTCAAACCTACTCCTCTTAAGAAATACGCGGACATCCTCGCTCATTACCGCCACGAACGACGACAGTTCCCGCCACCGCACCCCCGCCTATCCAGAGCCGAAGCGACCGCTTTTCGTCGGCTACAAACTAACTCGTATTCCCACGGCACTCTACTGCACGCCATGTACCCCACCCTATATTCTGCTACCTGCAAATTTTGCTCCCAGCCTGGCACCCTGTACCACATGGTCTGGGAGTGTCAGCAAACCCCATCCCTCGCCCCCAACCCTCACGCAACCTACGAGCAGTGGGTGGGCCAGCTGACCAGTTCCGACCTCTCAGCCCAGCGTAGCCTGGTGGAGAGAGCCCGGAAAGTCAGCGCGGACCAGGGCTTCCCGGACTAGAGGAGGCCCCCCACCGGGCGGGCGCCCAACCATCAGCGCCTGAAGCTCTATTTATTAAAAGTTTATTCCTCCTCCTCCTCCTCTTGAAATACAGGAGTGGCGTAACTCGGGGTCACTTTCTGTGGCATTTTATATAAAGTGAAGAGTGCGCGCGCGCAGGTTTCATCTGGGCTCACGGTGTGCGAGCGCACGAGCACCGACAGCTTTGGCTTCATTGGAACAGACACTTGCCCCCAAGTATGGCTGGCTGACCGCTCCGATTCTGTTCATGAAGGTGGCACATTTTGATGGTTTCAATGACGGTATGCGTGATAATCATGCCGTTCCTATATTAGTCGCCCTAATGATACTGAGCTGCACAACACCGAATTTGTTGTGTACAAACTTCCTAAAAGAAGAAGTTAGTCTCTGGTTTAGTAGAGCTGCCATTTTTGTATTTACGATTTGCGTCATGCTGCCAGGTTTATGACAAAGGTGAAGAAAAAGAAGCAAGCAGCAGCAACAACAAGGCTTTATCGGAATCGCCGGCGTTTTTCAAAATTTTCTGGGTACGAGTATATTTTATTGAAACTTGCTGAAATCTGCTGTGCTGGTAGTGCGGGGCGTTCACGGTTTCTAATTTCGCACGATCAACCTTTTTGTACTCATGCAATCAGATTTCGAAGGGGTCTCAAAGGAACTCATATTGCATCGCATAATATTTATAGCAGTGGTGTTAGTGATAGTGACCTCGCTCGTACCATGTGTCGGTCTCGAAGGAATCTACATTACATCACAATTTATATTAAAGCGGTGCTAGAAAAATCGACATCTGTTTGGCTATGTAGAGACGTTATGCCACTGCAAGGCGGGCTTGATACCAGATGACTTGTGATTTTTGTGGCCATTCTGCCTCTACCCAAGGTTCGGCGAGTGGCCTTCCAGCCATGACGTATCCAACCCAGAGGGGCAACCCATCCGGCAACCCGGCCCAGACGCAACCAGGGCAGAATCACCCGTACCAGGCAGGTAGCTAGGATTTGGTTTCGGGTGGAGGGGGGGGGGGGGGGGGGGGGCAAAGAGGGGCTCCCCCTGGCTACGTGCCTGACCCGTACTATCAAGGAGGTAGCCCTGTGTATGGAAAAGAAGGGTTCGCGCCGTTCACGCCACTGTTCAACCTCGCGCCAGTTCGCTCTGCATCATCGCCTCCTGGTCGCGCTTGATTTGGTTTGGGCATTATGTCGCACATAAATCATTCAGAAACAAGTTGGCTACATTTGGAGGAACGTTATAAACGTTGTTAGCAATCATATTTACATTATATTTTCGATAGTAATGCAAAAATGTCCCCCCATAAAAGAAAGAAAGAAAAACAAGAACAGTTGCTGCGGGTTTCACTAGCCCGTCTGTCGATGTCGTGGGGTGTAGCATCGGGCTTGTACACCTCGTGGAGAGAAGCCGACAGGCATAGTGTAACTCATATAGGAAGCGCTGGGCAGTGTAGGCACTGCGCGTGCGCAGAAGCCACATTCGCGTGAAATGAAGCGCCTGCTCATCCGGAGTGCCGACAGCAGCGTCACCGCAATGACGTGACGTCGGAGAGTTGAGTTGGCGTATAAAAATACCGCTAGTATGCAGACGATCTGGTGAAAGGTCACCATTGTGATACTAAACCGAGACCGGGCCAGAATGTCATATTAGCCCCGAAAATACGGTGGAAGCTTTCGAACGGCACCACCTCGCCACGGGGCAAAGGTGTCGAAGGTTCGCTCCCATTTCTGACACACGCCGTGAGATGGCGCAAAATGGCAAGAGCTCGAGAAACCGTCCTTATTCACGTACACGTTTTCAAGGCCGCAATCCGGCAGTGCCCCGCCGGTAGACTTGTGCTCGTTACTTGAAAAATGTAATGGATTACAATTACAAATTACCGAGCCTCAAATGTAATGGATTACCGTTACAGATTACTTTCGCTGAAAATTAACGGATTACTTTACTCGTTACGTTACAAGTTACTTTCACGTTACTTTTTCTGTACAGTTATCCAGAAAACAATAGAAACTATTTTGATATATTTTTCTTAATGTTCTGCAACACTACTTTTTATTTCTCATACGCACGTATTAGGGTAGTCCTTGCAAAAATTAAAATGTTCTATTTGAGAGAAAGAGTGTTGGTGCACTCCGTTAATCTGTTAGCTGACAAGGCATCGAAAACTGCAACCACACCCGCCATCCCGCTAGATTACAGCCTCCGGAAATGGTCTCTGGAATGGTGCAGAGAAAGCTAGAGGGGCGCATGCGCAATAACAGCGTCTAACTCCGCTACGAGATTCGGAGCTAAAGAAACGATCTACGAAAACTCCCTTTGAGTTGGGTGTTTGATTTAGCTAAAATTTAAATTTTAGAGCCCAAGGGACTAATAACGGGCTAGAAACCTTCACTTATGTTTGTTAAACTTACTTGAGGGATGATATATAAACAAGTCTACGGACACCACCAGTGGAGTCCATTGAAATACTATCCGAATACAGCAAGGGTCAAATGCGAGCAATGTATATAAAATGTTTCTGCTTTCATTACTTTGCCCCTG